TGCGGTTAAAGTTTTTATGTCTTTAGTTAATCTGGATGCAATAGTTGTAGAATTGTCAATAATTAAAAAGTTTTTTAAGTGCGGCTAAGCCTATTTTTTTTTTACTAAGGCTGCCCTATTTGTTTACATTCGAAACTTTGAATAGTGAATTAAGTCAACTCCTGTACCTTAAGTGTCTTTTTGCTGAGTGGGACCGAAAGTAAACGTTTAGTTTTGTGCACCGAAAAATCCACCTTCTCTTCCCGCTGTCCAAACTGCAATGTTTTTGCGTAAAAAACTCTAATTTTAATTGCAGAAATTTTTTTTAAAATTGTTTTAACTGTATTTGGCGTTTTATATTTTTCTATAATTTTCAATTTTTGATAAAAAATATTTTGAGATTTTATGTGTTCTTGCCTTTTCGCGAAGTGAGAATTGAATTAATTGAATGAAAACTATATCTTTAATGAAATTCAAGGAAATACGTTTAAATGAAATGTAGCAAAAATGCGTATGATTTAATATTCTGTGCAAAGAAGTCATGTAGTGTATATATCAAATTTTTTAATGGTATTTGTCTGTCTGTGTGTGATGATGTTTTCGTCCGCGAGAACTTTTATATCACATGTCCAAAAATTTCTGTTTTCCTCTTTTAAGTTTTCTGCATTCATGCAAAGAGTTGATTAGATTTTGCGTAAAATTCAACAACCGGAAGTAGTATCTTACTTGAAGCCCATAACAGCTTTTAATGAAAAACTATGTTAAAATATAATCCAAATTTTTTCAGTTTTAGTAACTAATATCAATTTTAATATCAATGGAAACAACATATTAGATTAAGGCAGATGAAAAACATGTCAAAGTAAAACATAAAACTAGCAAAGCAACAACGTTATGTTTGGCGTAGACTTTAATCAAGATTGTATCGATTTTCAGTGCCAAACAGTTACAAGTCCCTCTTCAACAGGGCCCACCAGCGGGCGAGCGGTAAAGACGCTGAAAACTGGTAGTTCTGTCCGAGGTTCGAATCCCGCGAACGGGATGGCTGCATGGGCGTTTTCCCCATGTGTAACGTGTAGACGAGCCAGTTTCCCTTGGAAAGTCCTCCACGAAAGGCATCCCTCCCTTTAGGCAGATAGCCCTCGTGTGCTTTGCCATAATTAAATACACCACACCACCTCTTCAACAGGACCAAAGAAGTCTGCAACGAAGGGAAAGTGATGGCTGTACTATAGTATCTCGTTCGCTTTACTCCTGTTAGGCATAAATATAACCATGGCTCTCCGCTAGTTAAGGTAATCTGCCTACGTTAAAAAAACGATTTCGGCGAAAAAAAATTCCATTTTTTTTTATTGCCCAATTTGAAAGATCAGTTTTGTAGGATTCCGAAAATGGTTCATTTTTACGTTTGTGATAATTAGAAGAGAAGGTATACCCAATTAACTGCACTGGAAGTGAAAGCATAAAGACCGGAAGTGCCATTTAAAAGGCTCAACTTAAAGGTAAACAATGTTGTTATCCGTGTTTTTTTTTTCTTTTTTAACCTGTTTGTGTGTTTTTAATTGTGCTAAAACATTTCATTTTAATTCTGGGATACTTTTTTTTCGTTTCTGGCAATAATTATTTGCCTTAATTTCTTTGAAGTGGGACTGGGAACAACATTGCGGATTTTTGCTTAACATTTGTTCTGGCAACATTGTTCGATTCGTTTCCTAAACGACTATGTTCACGCTTGGGTGCATTTATATAAGCCGTTTTGAATGACATTTTTTAATCAGGGTATCTAATGGATTAAAAATAAGCCTAATGATATGCCTAATGAACATTTAGGCATATAAATTGAACAAGAAATGATTAAAAATTACTTTGGAATTGATAACGAAAGAATAAGGAACTCGAAACGTCATTCGTCGCTCATTTCGAAAATAGCCAGAAAAAAATTAAAATCAAATAGAAAATCAAAATTACTTAAGTATAAAGATATGGAGGGTGTGATGCACAAATGTGGAGAATTTTAAGTGTGCAAATACAACAGAACAGTTTTTCTGTTAATGTGAAATCTTTAAGTGCGTTTTCTGGAAAACTAATTTTTCTAGTGTTTTTACATACAAGAAATGTAATTACTCAAAATGTTCTAAAGGTATCTCTATTAAATTTCACTTAAATGTTTTCTATAATATTTATTAGGTTTTAAGCTACAGTCTAAGTAATATTTATTAATTTGATTGTTTTATAAGTATTTTTATATAAAACGATAAGAAATATTTTACAAAAAACTGTGTTTTTTCATGTAATTACACATATTATAGTAAATTTTAGAAATATCATAAACATTTTAGTTCATAACACAGATGAGTGTTGTAGTAGTATACAGTATAAATAAAACTGAAATATATGCTGTGAGAAAAAATATACGGCATTTAACGTAAGTGTTAAATTCTCCTAAAAATTTGCATAAAATTGCATATATTTCAAAAATTTATAAAAATATTCCTAAAAATTTACCTATTTTCATGATTTGATATCATATATTGTTTAAATAAATATATATTTCAGCAGAATTCTATGTTTTTTAAAAAAAAGTGCTCCGAACGTAGGCAGACCTTAAAGATTCCTTTGCTGCTCATGAATTGGGACCTGTACCTGTTTCCCCTCGAAATCGACAGAGCCTTAACTAAAATCTGCGCCAAACACAAGTCTGCTGTCTCCCAACAGTGCCGTGATCCAAATTCAAACCCTAGAGAGGAAGAGAGCATAGTCCCTCCGGCGAGTTCAAAATGAGGGAAGAATAGAAATTCACCGTTTAACTTCCCTAAAAGTTATGCGTCTCTGCCATTCGCTAATTTTCGTAGAAATTACTCATATATAAGTCCTTTTGGGTAAACCCATGGCTTGGATCAGGTTAATAGTCGGTTTCTGAGCTCGATCTCAATTTCAGGAGTTTCATTTACGCTAATAGATTCTACCACTTTAAATTGATTTTTCCTTGGGATAGGTTTGGGAATTATATCAACATTAATCTGTTTAGCAGTTTTGATTGGGATTTAGAAACCATCATAATCTAGAGTAACATTTTCATCGTTATTAATTTTTCGCTTGCTTTCGGGATTGTTGATTTTATTACTTCCTTGTACGAAGTAAAAAGGAAGTATTGTAATCGCGAAAAGTTTCGGGCAGCATATTTCAACGAAAATATCCATTTTGACCGCTATTGAAGGCAATTTAACGATGTTTTTGCGTGATATTTGTACGTAAGGACAGAATAATATATTCTTTTCCTTCCAAAAAATTATAAAACTGCTTTAAAATTAATTCTGAAGAGAATTTTTCGTGGCGTCTGTACGAACGTATGTACGTACGTGCGTATCTCGCATAACTCAAAAACGAGTAGCCTCAGAACGTTGAAATTTTGTATATAGGACTGCTATAACATGTAGATGAGCACCTCGTATTTTGGTTGCAATCGGCCGAACCAAACGTATATAAATATATTTATATATATATCCACTCTGTTACCCGGCTCAGTGATCTCAGTTTCTTTACTCTTATAATTGTTTGTAAATTGTACATTTTTCGCTTTAAAAATGATTGAATTATGTTGTTTTTATCTTCCGGTTAAGGATTTTATGCCTTTAATAAATCTGTGGGCAATATTTTACAATGCAATATTTTAAAATTGTTTAATTGCCGCTAAGCCTGTTTTTAATGGCGGCCATTGATATTTGCATTTGAAACAGGAGACTAGTGGATTTGTTGCCAATCTAGAGAAACTTAGCTTCGCAACAACAAAGATAACGCATTCATTTATTATTGCCAATTAAATCATGCTTAATTCTTTCTGGAATTTTTTCGAGGAAATAAGTGTTTGAGATTTACTTCGTAATTTTTAATATAGATATTTTGAGTTTTTATGTATTTTCGCCTTCTCGCGAAGTGAGAACTGAATTAATTCAATGAGAAATACTCGATCGTCTGTGAAAACTGTTTCTTTTTTGTTTTGTTTGCTTAATTTCTTTTATACATAGTTCTAGCTTTATTATAGTATTTAAATAGAACATGTGGCAACGATTAGATAATTCTATTCTTTAAATGATATAAATTTTGTGCATTCTGAGTTATAATATGAACGAAATATATACGTTAACTGTTATATAATTATTGGATTATATAACAGTTAACATAGTTTCCGTTATAACTGTTATATAATTATTAATACTGTTAAGTGAATCTAGCGCCAGAGTGTAGCTATGGTAAACAAATACTAGAGTGAATTTTAAAGAATGCATTTATTTTATTTGTGGTTTATGCGCTGTTGGGGAAGTAGATTTAATTAAATCCAATAAGTTTAAATGGAATGCAAGAAAAATGCGTATAATTTAATATTCCAATACAAGAAGTCATGTGGTGTACACATCATATTTTTTTTAACTTTTAGTATGGTCACAAGTAGAATTAATTTTTCCAATGCCCAACTAGCAAGGGAAATTGTACTTACCCCTCAATTCGTTGCCCTTTTTTTTTCATGTCCTATAGAATCTTGATCGTTGTTTCAGTAGTTTCAATATCACCTGCGGAGTACCTTTGCTGGAAGTTTTTAAGAAATTTCTTCGTTCCTGCCGTTTGGATATCCAACACTTGAATGCATTCCCATAGGTAATTCTGTAATCAACTGAGCTTAGTGAGTCGTCTAATGAAATTGTTTATAACATTTTTTCTAGACTGCGTCTACAGCTATTTTACTTCTCTTGATAGTTTTTTACATCATATTAATGTTGTTTGTTGGTTAGGGTATGCGATATTAATACTCTAACGACTAAATTAAATAGCAATTTCCTGACAAAAAAAAATATTTTCCAAACATTTGCAAAATAGTGTTTTGTTTTCATTCTTAAATTAATGTGACTGTAAGCAGTAATCGTCATAATTTTACTTTATTTTGTAATATTGAATTTTCTTCATTCAGAATTTTCACGGCATACAGTTGCATTTAAAAAAGAAATAAACATATTTTTTGTTTTCAGATCCACAGCCATACGAACAATGTTTTCGAGCTATGTTCGGTCGAACCCGTCAAAGCCAAGGAAGAACAATTACCAGAAACATCTTCCCTTAGAAGCATCGATTCGGACATCCACAACGATGACGATACAAGTAAGTGAGAATATTTTAAACCTATGTCAGCATGCAGTTTCAGTATAATTCAGCTGTATGATTCTTTGGTAGACTATATAGAAAGAGATTTAACCTTTTTGGCTTAACATCTGGCTGCTTGGAAAGCAATGCAAGCAAATAATGGTGAGAAAAACATTAAAATATGCTTCCAAGAATATTTGTTATTTCTATCTCTACATATAGTAAAAGGAAGTGACTGTCTGTGTGTGTGTGTGTTTTCCGTTTGTGCTGCGCGTACGCTAATGGACCCAGGGCTACGAAATTTGTAACATAGGTGCATCTATACAAGAGCCAGTGCATCTCTAAGTGAGTTTTTCAAAATTCGAATCACATTTTTTTTATTTTATCTTTTTTGATGAAATGGCATCAAAGCGATAATTTTCTCTCATTATATCAGCAACGATGGCACGCAGTCGTTGTTGCTGATATATCACTATTGCCATTGTTGCTGAAATCAGCACTGTTGCCACTCGGGAAAATGAAGGCGAAAATTAGCGTTTTAAGAGTTTTTAATTAATATCTCTGATTTTAGCTTTTTTTGTTATTGGGAAAAAGTGGATGTCCACCTTTTCTAGGACCCAGAAGAGAACTGTTGAAAGTTTGGTGACGATAGCTATAGTAGTGACTGAGTTATTAGCGGGTAAACACACAGACCTTCTAAAATTAGATGGCTGTGATATGACTAGCAAAAGTTAAATGGCCGTGATATAAATGCTGACACATTTTCTCAGAAGATTACATAAAGTATCGTAGCATTTTAACTCATCATCATATATTGGACGTAATGCTTTTTCTGTATATTTTTTTCATAATTCTAATTTATAAAAATTCAAAATTTCAGAAAAAGAACTATTCAGACTGTCGAGTAAGCAAATGTTTGAAAGAATGTGACTCATCGGAAATGGGCTGGAGTTATATTTATTTTATTGTAGAATTTTTATATAATTTTTTATGTGTTACTCGTGGTGGATAAGAAGGGAGATATAAATTAAGTTTTAACAAATGTTTAATATACATCCCATGCAATAAAGTTGCTAAAAATTCAAGATATAATAGTATATATTTTTCTGGTTTTTTGTTTCTTTTTATTGATATGCATATTCGTGTCGGAGAGGTTTCAGTAGACAAGGGTTTCTAAAATACATTGGTTTCTAGATTATTTTTTATAAGTTAATTTTTTTAAAAATTTAATTTTTTTAAAAAAAAAGTTTAATTTAATACTTGACTTTACTTGCTTGTTTCTCAAAAGACTTCATTAGTATTTTTCTTTTAAAACTTTAATTCTTAAATGCTAATTTTTAAGGGTACCACTTTATTGGTATTTCTTTTTGGACATTCTTCACTTTTTACTTTTGGTTTTGACTTTTACCCTTGCCTGCATGAATGACGAAACACAAATTGAATGATTGGAGAGTTAGGTTTGGAGGCCCTTGATAAGTCTATCTTCTGCCTGTTCAACAGTCATTCACATATGCATTTTAAAAAAAATTGTTTGGATTAATTTTAATTTGCTAAATTTGTGAATTTTTTTTCATGGATTGGTTTTGCACTTGATTTGCTTATGCTTCTGAATTTAAATGATATTGTAGATTAGTTCGAGAATTAAATCTTTTATATGTTTACACATTTTTTAAATCTTTTTGGCTTTAAATTTACTTTTTTTAATTTTGGCTTTAAATTTGCTTTTTAACTTTTTTACGTGTTTGTTAAAATTAAAATTTAATTTGTTTAAATTTAATTTTCTGGTTTGCTTTATACATCAGGGTCGTATGCAAAAGGGGTACTCTCTTTCTTGGCTAAAGGCCACAACATAAATACCTCACAATTTGCAAGCTCAATTTGCATAACTAAATCTGTTCGCGTTTATTCTGGCCGGAAATGGAAAATAAGAGAGGATAGTAATGTTTCAAAATGAATAAACGTTAGTGAAACTTAAAATCATTACAAAGTGCGCCTCATAATTTGCAAATTTAATTAATAAAAACTTTCTGTCTTTAATATACCTGCAACATCACTCTTCAAACCTATCATTCCTGATGCCTTCCCGGCACTAAGTGCTAAGCAATTAGTCTGAAGAATTGCATTTTCTTTTAAAGTTTTGATAATTAGCTGTGCTGTGTATTAAAGCCTGTCGAATCTCCTTCTAAAGCGAGGATAGAAAGTAAATAACGCTCAATTTCTTAAAACTCTGGATTAAAAAAATCTGATGTGTACACCACATGACTTCCTTGTACGGAATATTAAATTATACGCATTTTTTCTTGCATTTCATTTAACTTATTAGATTGAATTAAACCTACTTCGCCGACAGCGCATAAACCACAATAGAATAAATGCATTCTTTAAAATTCACTTTGTTTACCATAGCGACACTCTGGCGCTAGGTTTACTTAACAGTATTATATTTCGTTCATATTATAACTCAGAATGCACAAAATTTATATCATTTGAAGAATTGTCGAATCGTTGCCACATGTTCTATTCAAATACTAGTATAACAAAGCTACAACGATGTATAAAAGAAATTAAGCAAACAAAACGAAAAAACAGTTTTTGACAGACGATTGAGTATTTCTCATTCAATTAATTCAGTGTTCACTTCGCGAGAAGGCAAAAATACATAAAAACTCAAAATATCTGTATTAAAAATTACGAAGTAAATCTTAAATACTTATTTCCTCGAAAAAAATCCAGAAAGGATTAAGCATGATTTAATTCGCAATAATAAATGAAGGCGTTATTTTTGTGTTGCGAAGCTTAGTGTTTCTAGATTGGCAACAAATCTACAATTCTTCTGTTTCAAATGTAAGCAAATATGTCCGCCATGTTATTTAAAACGTAACCGCACTTAAACAGCTTTTAAATTGTTGATAATTGTACAAATATGACTTCCAGAATTACGAAAGGCATAAAAACTTTAAGCGGAAGATAAAAACAACATAATTCAATCATTTTTAAAGCAAAAAATGTACAATTTACAAACATGTAAGAGTAAAGAAACTGAGATCACTGAGTAGATAAACAGAGTAGATATATTTATAAATATATTTATATACGTTTGGCGCGGCCGATTGAAACCAAAATACGAGGTGCACATCTACATGTTATAGTAGTCCTATATACAAAATTTCAACGTTCTGAGGCTACTCGTTTTTGAGTTATGCGAGATACGCACGTACGTACATACGTTCGTACAGACGCCACGAAAAATTCTCTTCAGAATTAATTTTAAAGCAGTTTTATAATTTTTTGGAAGGAAAAGAATATATTATTCTGTCCTTACGTACAAATATCACGCAAAAACATCGTTAAATTGCCTTCAATAGCGGTCAAAATGGATATTTTCGTTGAAATATGCTGCCCGAAACTTTTCGCGATTACAATACTTCCTTTTTATTTCGTACAAGGAAGTAAAAAAGAAACAACAGTTGGATAGAATTTTGCATCGGTACTATTGCTTCCATTTGTTTAGAGAGGCAGATATTATAATTGTATATATGTTATTTTGTACACATTGTCTAATGTAAAACTGTAAATCTTTATTCATGTAAAAAACCTACGTATGACATTCTCAATAAATACTCGCTGATCACTAAGCCACCTCATTGGCTTGGTGTAGCAGACAGTAGATAATATCTATGGATGGAGCATCTATTGCAGAAAGCTGTAATGATGGTGCGGTTGCTCCATTGACGGTCTTCTGTAGAGAGGCACAATGAAACTAATTTAATGCTATGAATAACTGAATATTTATTTTTCATACCAGTTTCTTGAACCCTTTTCTTCTACAATTCCAGCCATTTTTGTCCTTGCACTTACTTTCTCTTAGCGATTTCACTGCTGGGAAACATTTTTCTAAATAAGTCTGCAATATGATCCGATGGATCCAGTGGCAGGTTGTACTCCAGTAATAAGGCAAACAACGACATTCTGCATTAATAATATTTTGGTCCTTCGTTTTCACAGAAAATTAAATTTTTTCTGATACAATGCACGTTATCTTCGTGTACACACATGTTCAAGAAAATCAGCCCTTTCATCGTGCGAAATCGAAAAATCTCAATGATAAACAGTCTCAATGCAATATTCCATTTCCTTGATGAAATAATAAAAGGAAAGTCCTCTGTGTAAGATTTTTGAAAATACATGATTATTTTACATTTTTCGCAGACATCACTAAGATATTCCTCCAGTGGAACGGTGTCTGAACACCAAGGTACCTGAGCAAAAGCACCCTTGTAGAAAAGTTAAAAATTTCGAATGATAAAAGCAAAATAGCCGAGATCACTAAGATAAAAGATCGCAGTTTCTTAAATATAAAACTTCTGCGAAACACTGCTCACTGGAGAGACGAACGAAATAACAACCTCGATCTTGCTTTGTGCTCATTGGCTAATATATCCCAGATGACCCGCAGCGGCGCTTATTCTCATTGGAGAACTGAAACACAACGTTTTCTGACGACTTTCACGCACAGAGCAGAAACCACATATTACTGATGAAACGACTTCGGTTTTCTTTATATGTATCTAGAGAGAAAACAAGCGCTTTCAGAAGTCAAAGATCACTTTTTTTGGGTGCAGATAACGAAGTATTAAGCCAAGCTACATAAAAATAGTGAGACATTTTAAGAATAAGTCAGGAGAAATATGTTGCAAATAGGGCTGGTGAGAATATGATCATAAATCGGGAGTCTCCCGCCTAAGTCGGGAGAGTTGCCAACTCTCTTATTAGCTTGGTTTGGTTTGTTTTATTATGGGAACGTACTCGAGGGCTATCTGCCTATGGAGAGGGATGCCTTCGTGGAGGAATTCCCAAGAAAAATTGGGTCTTATACACTTCACACATCCTCATCTTATTGTATTTCATTTTTTGTTCTGTGCGAAAGCGTTATACTATTTGCTGATTTATTTTTAATGATATTTGAGAATATTTGTTTTAATCCAAAGACAGTTTAGCTCAATCTGGTTAAACTGTCT